CCCCAGCCCGGAGCCCCCTCCTGCACTCCAAACCCCTCATCCCTGGCAGTACCCCCAGCCCAGAGCCCTCATCCCCTCCCACACCCCAGCCCTCTGAGCAAGCCCGGTGAAAATGAATGAGTGAGGGTGGGGAGAGCGAGCGACAGAGGGAGGGGGAGATGGAGTGAGTGGGGGTTGGGCATGGACAGGGCAAGGGAGTTTGGTTTTGTGCGAGTAGAAAGTTGGCAACCCTAAACTTAGAATGCAAATCTTTCAAAACCTATGTCTTTCTGTCTGTACTGTAAAACAACTAGCAGAGTTTCGGGTGCTGTAAAATAAAACAATCAGCAAAGGCAAAGAAATTGAAGTATATGATCTTGTGGCAGACATTATTAGCCACAAAAACCTTCACCCCAAAATGTAAGTGAAAGGATCATTTAAATCAGTACTTACCAAACTTGACAAAAAAGCATTTACATTACAAGCAAATTGAGTTAACGTATGGGGAAGGAGGACTGGCAGTACTGGTTTGAGTCACTCATTTCTTAGGTATAATTTAGATCAGTTGTCTCCAAACTTTTCTGATTGCGCACCCCCCTATCAGTAAAAAAATTTTGAGCACGCACCCCCTGCCACGCCAAAGCAAAAAAATAAATAAAAAAAGGCGCTCCTCCTGCCGTGCACCCCCAAAGAACCTCTTGCGCAACCCCCTTTGGAGACCACTGATTTAGATAACCCACACAGCCACATACTAGATGCTACATGCGCACACACATGCACACAAAATTCTACTTCATCTTCTTCGCATTCAGATACTACAGGAATGGGCAACAGCACACAACCCTAAATTTACCTCTGGAGAGCTCTGTAGTAAGTGTCCTTACACGAAAGACAACATACTTCATCTTCCAATATTACAAAAGATGCAAGATGGGAGAACTTGGAGGCTGGAGACATAAAAAGCCATGGCTGTAGGTGAAGATGTTTGCCCAGCATGTTTTAATGATTTATTGTTGATTTTTCATCTCTCAGTACTTACAATGCCTTCTTTCTCTGGGATGTCTAGTGCCAAGATATTTCTTCCCCCATCCCATTTTCACACATACTGAGAGGGATGACTATGCCAATATTTACAAGAGATGCAGCTCTTTCATGTTACTTCCACCATGGTCCAGTAGCTATGTAAGAAGTCTAGCAATAAACAAAAAAGTGGTTGTGTCTCTCATGTTATTGTTATAGTACAAGGGGTCAGGAATCATGCATGTGTTTTCTGGCACTTGATCAAGTCTACAGGACTGTTATTGAAAGTTTATTTTCACTGGCTGCTTATACAAGTGACTACAGGTGGCAAAGACCAACGTGCTTGGATCAGCATTTCATTATACAAAAAGTGACCTGTAAAACTAGGAAAGTAGTAGTAAATCAAAGGAGGAAGGGGGGGGGAGAAAGAGGGGGGGGGGGGGGGGAGTCAGCTTTTGCTTAGGTATCCAAACATCATAACTGAACTTTAGAGCAGGCTTCAACATTAATTGACACCTCATTTTTAAATCCAAGGATCTTTTTGAAATTCACACAGAACCAGGGTGCTTATACTACAGCGGTGGGTGTAGTATAAAAACCTAGATATGAACAGAATAAAAATTATTTTCAAGTGTTCTAAAATTTCATCATGATTTGCATATTTTAGGATCTGTCATATTTGGAATTAAACACAGAAATTTATAACATAACAATAGTCAAATTTGACCAGTTTTAACATTCCTTTGTATCTTTAATATCCATATAATTCTACTTCTAAGGTTATTTTTAACCAGTAACAGCAAGACCCAACAATAAGAAATCAATGTATGCACACAACTGAAGGTGGAGGGGGGCATTTGGCAAGAAAACGGCTTTCATTTTCGAGTTCTGGATTGGGTTATTACTACACAACAATCGAATAAATCCTCTCTTTTTTTTAAACTTATGAAAAAATTCCTTGATGGTGCTCTTTAAGTTGGAAATCTTGCTACCTTTGTAAGACTCGCTGTGATGACTTGAGACCAACTTCTGAAAACTTTTTCTTAAGGTATAAGTAGTATGGGCTGTATACGGCCTTTAATTGGTGCATGGAACTCCCACAGAACTTGCAACACACTTTACATCAAGTATCAAAAGACATATGTATTTAAAACTGTTAAACTTAGACTGTATATTTGAAAACGAGGATGTGATTAATATTAAGGAAGCGGTTCTTCTGATGTTTAGGAATTAGATTGAGGTGAAGAGGGAGGAGTGGCTCTACACTACTCAGGTCCCACCTTCAAGCCAGGAGCAGCTGGATGCTTCCTTTAAAATGATGTAGCGAAATGGTTAACAGTGTTGATCATTAAGCCGTCATCATTAGGTGTCATCAGAATTAACGGTGTTATTGAGATGAAGGGTTTAGACCACAATTCTTTTAGGAACTAATGCTCCTATTGAATCAACAAACCCCAACCCTGTGTAAAACTTGACTCAGAGTAGGAAGGACAGTTACCCTCCAGAGGACCATGATGAAAATGTTAGGTTCTCCCTTTCCATTCCTGGAGTTCCTGTCTCGTTTATCCTCCTTTCTTTCAGACTGTTCTCCTGTCCCACTCTACGCAGCAGTCAGCTACCACCCACTTTGTGTCCTAATTTTTACACCTGGCTCTCCCTCCCCTCATAATCTCTGACCCTCATTCTCAACCTACAACTTCCACAATGGCATGCCATCTGACCCCTCATCCTCCTTTGACCTTCACCACTGAATTAAATCCCACTCACTAAAATGTCTACTCCCTCAACTTTGTCTTCAGAAAACACTGCTCCTCTGTTCCTTCAACATCAGTGTTCCCACACCTTGACTATCACCTCATCTCCTTCAGCACCCACTTGTCGATCCATCCAGCCTGTGCTGCTTTCAGCTGATTGCCATCGACAGCTTATCTGCCAAGTCTCACTCTCTTCTTCATTGACTCAGTTGTCTAATCCCTCCACTCCTTCTTTCCACAGAAAAATGTCCTACTAATTTGCCACATGGCTCACCACCACCACCACCATTCAATTTCTCAGCATCTGCACCACTGAACACCTCTGGAGAAAGTCTCCTGAGTAACAATGGCTTCCTCCACTATAAGCTTGTTCTCTTAACTTCCTTGTCAAACAGCGCTCTACCTCCCCACATGGCATATCCACGAATCAGCTGCCTATTCACCACCAGATCCCCTCTTAAAATGCTCTCCCCCATCCAGGTAGAATGTTCATGGCATTTTCAAAGAGATGACTGACCGGGTCTGATGTGACTTCCCACTTCCTTCTTCTCCCATCACCCTTTATCACCTGGGGAATTCTTCACATCTGTGCAGAGGAAGTATACAGCCCTACCACTTTGATTTAGCAGTGGGGAAGGTACCTACATGGCCATGTGAATAAGATCTTGTGCACCAGTTTTTCCACACCCACATTCTCATCACCCCTATGTACACATTTGCACTTATTTGGTCTGATGCTGGATTACTGACTCAGTCTTTCTTTGTCATCGTAGTGTCTAGAAGCCCAACTGAGATCAGGGTCCTATTGTGCTAGGCACAGTACATGCACATAGCAAGAGAACGTCTCTCAAAAACCTTGCAATCTACATAGACAAGACAGACAAAAGGTGGGAGAAAAGACAATTTTCATCAATTTAAAGATAGAGAATTTAAAGACAGAGGCTGGAACTTTCAAAAGAGACTAAGGGATGGAGACAACTAACCTCAATTACTCCCTTAGATGATTTCCCAGATTTAAAGTGTGTCTCAGACCCTGCAATCTCACTACTTTTATTTTCCCGAGGTCAAAGGGAAAATCTAGCAGCAGAATGAGTCTGTATGTGGAACATCTCCACCCCACTCCAAGAAAAAAAACACCTGCTCTTCTTCAGCTGTCTCGAGGCCTGCAGGTATAACACAAGAAAGCCAGATCAAAGAGACTGTGCTGACAGCCATTCAAAATAATGCATTCTACAGCCAGGGCAATGAGCCACCAAGGAAAAATAAACAGTGACCTTCAAAGAACAACACAAGGCTGGGCCAAGAAAATATGCAGACTGACTGGTCCTGGCTCCACTGCTTAGGAGCTCAATGGCAAGAGTCAGTTGCCCAGGACGTCAGAAGTTCCCACATTAAAAGTTTATTCCAATCTGAAATATTTAGTCATGTAAGAATAGAACAAGGAGTCAGGCACTCCTGAGTTCCAATTCCATCTCTGACTTATGCTACTCCTGTGGCCTCAACCTCTCTGCTTCAATTTCGTCAACCGTAAAATAGGCCTGATACAGCATGTCCCTTGAGAGTGCTTGAAGATTAGTAGATATTTGTACAATGTTCTGAAGATGTAATGAGCTAGATAAGTGCTAAATATGATGAGTAAATGCATTTGTTACCAAGTTCGACCATTACCGAACATTTCACAGGACTTTTGTTTTTTCATAATTAAACTCTTCCGAAGCAACCACAGCAGTAGAGAAGATACAATGTGCAACAATTTGTGTTGTCTAGATCAGTGGTTCTCAAAGTCAGTCCGCTGCTTGTTCAGGGAAAGCCTTTGGTGGGCCAGGCCGGTTTGTTTACCTGCCGCGTCCACAGGATCGGCCGATCGCGGCTCCCACATCCCTCGGCCCACGCCGCTTCCCGCTGCCCCCATTGGCCTGGAGCGGCGAACAGGTGGGCCGAAGGATGTGGGCCGGTGGGCCAGCTCTCTTATAAGGTATAAACATAAAAAAACTCTTACCTAAAATTATCCTATTCTTGCTGATGCCATTTTTAACCTCATCATCAATCACGTTTGTAAGCACCTGACACATTGAGTCAATGGTTTCAATGTGTTCTGGACACTCATTAGAGATCTTCCATCTGTCAAACCACACAGTGGAGAGGGCCCCTCTCATAGGTGTATACGGTCTGGAGGAAAAGAAAAGAAAGGTTGATTAAAAATATATGAGAACAAAGGCATTCAGTATAACCATGGTAAATAACAGAGAATTTGGTGACTGACTGAAAAAGGAGAGAAGGAATCAATTAATTGTCTCTCAATTCTAAATGTGTCTAATTTAAACGTTATTTACTATTAGTTATACAAAGTCTCTTTGTTCATCAAGGACTATCCTTAAAGGGTGAGGACATTTAGAAAACTGTTTAAAATACAAATGCAAGTTTCAATCAGCACAAGGTCATGGCTGCATAGTTTCATATACTAAGTCTTTTAGAGCACAACCTTGCCAACAGATCTGCAGGTGTGACTCCTTATTCCTGAGCATACTTCCTGTTGAAATAAATGGGAGTAGGGAGTCAATACATGCTGATGGGTTGCAAGATCCTCAGGTCACATACTATGTGTGTTTCTTGGGGGTGGGAGGTCTGATTTTATATCAGGAATAAGGCTGAGATTTTTTCAAAACCACCGTGGGGATTCAGAGGCACAATTCCTACTGAAAGTGATGGGAGGGTTTTTTGTTTTTTTATTAATCTTCTAGGCACCTATGGAAATTTCAGTCTGTGTGAGTGTGTGTAGGAGAGAGAGAATGAGTGAGTGGTGAGAGATCGTTTATCTTAATAATCCAGATAACTTTATAAATAAGGTTGAAAAACACAACTTTGCTTACCTTGCCAGCGTGCAGACTGAAATTAGAGATGTAATTATACCATTCTTTGCAATACTGTAGTTAGTGTCAGATTAGTATCACAAATACCTTACATACACTGTCCAAAACTCAAATAATCAAGGAAGTTACAATTCAAAGGAGACACTTTTTTTTATGATGATGATGATGAAGAATTGGCCCCTAAAATCCCCAGAAAGATGATCTAATTGTCTTACAATGGTAACAATTCAATACCAAACCTACTGCACTGAGGTCAGTGTTTCATGTCAAGGGGGTCAAAACCAAGATCCCCAAAATCCTTAATTGCTATGTTTAATCAAGGGGCACATTTTTCACTCTAAATTTAAACTCAGAAAAGCTCAGATCAGATTACAATAGTTGCCTACAAACAGACAGCCTTTGATAAATTTGTCTGGCTGGGAACCCACTGAAAATGAAAATGAAGCCTTCAGTCTTCTATCTGGATTTTCTCACTACTAAGGTTTAAACAAAATACCACTAACAATCCCAAAAATGCTTAATGAAGCAGCAAATTCTGCCCTTATTTATACCATGGGGTTTGCACATGTGTGAAGTAGAAGGGTCTATTTCTAAACCAAAGAGACCGCTGCATCTCAGAACATATAATAGGCAGTATTTTATGTATTTGTATTACTATGGCACCCCAGAACCCCAGTTATGGACCAGGACCCCATTGTGCTAGCCACTATATAAACACAGAACAAAAAGACAGTCCCTGACTCAAACAGCTTACAATCTAAGTATAGGCACTTAGAGGATAACAGGGTGATAAGTAATAGCCAACATCGATTTGTCAAGAACAAATCATGCCAAACCAACCTACTTTCTTTCTTTGACAAGGTTACTGGCATAGTGCATGGGGGGAAGCAGTAGACATGATTTATCTTTATTTTAGTAGAGCTTTTGACACTGTCGCCGGGTGGAGGTGGAGCTTGGGCTTCAGCTTCAACCCTGGGTCCCAGCAAGTATAACGCTGGCTCTGGCAACCCCATTAAAATGGGGTTGTGAACCACTTTGGGGTCCCGACCTACAGTTTGAGAACTGCTGGTCTAGAGAAAAGAAGACTGGGGCGGGGGGGGGGGGGGGGGGGGGGGGGGGGGGCTGATAACAGTCTTCAAATATGTTAAGGGCTGTTCTAAAGAGGATTGTGATCAATTGTTGTCCACTTCCACTTAAGGTAGGACAAGTAATGGGCTCAATTTGCAGCCAGGGAGATTTAGGTTAGATATTAGGAAAAACTTTGATTATAAGGATAGCTAAGCACTGAAACAGACTTCCAATGGAGGTTGTGGAATCCCTGCCCGTGAAGGTTTTAAAGAACAGGTTAGACAAACACCTGTCACGGATGGTCTAGGTTTACTTGGTCCTTCCTCAGTGCAGGGGGCTGGACTAGATGACTTCTCAAGGTCCCTTCCAGCCCTTATATTTCTATGATTCTATAAGAGAAGAGACTACATTCTTGAATGAACTCCCACAGGAAAATGATAAAAGACAAAGCACCCCATCACAAAGTGATCACTCCATACCTGACCTCTCAGTCCTGATCCTCAGAGGAAATCTGCACAACACTTTCAAAAGACAAGCCTAAGAGCTTAAATTCATAACTCTGCTAGACACCATAGGCGCTGACTCAGTGAGTGCCCCGGGGCTGGAGCAGCCACGGGAAAAATATGGTGGATGCTGAGCATCCACCGGCAGCCCGCCTATCAGCACTTCCCCCTCCCCTCCAGTGCCTCCTGCCCCCCAGCAGGCCCCACCAATCAGCCTCTCCCCTCTCCCTCCCCATGCCTCACGCCCGCTGCAATCAGCTGTTTCGCGGCGTTCAGGAGGCTGGAGGGGAAAGGGGAAGTGCTATTAAACACATCACTTATCAGGCCTTAGTTTGGATTCCAAAGGATAAATAGTGATTGTTTATTAAACTAAAGGAAGGTCAGAAGACAGTATTCAATACACAGAAGAAGCTCCACTGAAATCTGTTCAAGAAATTTTATTCTTTGCTTCTTCCACTAGGGACTTCACCATTGCTATTGATTTTACATGGAAGGCACTCAGATACTATGAGGAGTAGCAGTATAAAACAATTAGGGATAGATATTATCCAAATACTGGTTATAGGCCCTTTCTCAAAAACCTTGGCATCAGTGCTCATGGTAAGCACTGCTATTGACAGTGGAGCAAATGCCAAGAGACTTCAACTCCTAGAACCAATGGATTAATACATACAAGTAATTACAATAGGTTGTTAGAAAAAAAAAACATTTAAAAGTTTAAAAAAAGAGCTTTGTCCTACAGTAGCAGGATTGCCCCGGCATTTACATGGAAAAAGTATGCGTGGATATTCCTGAAATATCCACAACAAATTTAGTGGTATACAGCTTTGCAAGAGAAACTAACAGATACTTAAAAACACAAAATAAACAAACAAAACCACCCAACACAGCACCTTTTATTTGACTTTCCCCTATACTGTTCGTTGGCATAACAAACCTTTCAAAGTTGGAAATATGTCCTCACCCCCTTTGGTCTCCCTTATTTGGCAAATGCTTTAATTTGTCAGTGTAGTGGTCCCTTGCTCTCAAGCGCGGAGGGAGACCACTCCGCCTCACTGCGGCAGGCAGCAGCAGGCAGGGCCAAGCAGCTTGTAGCCTCCTAGCAGGGACAAACAACCATTAACTGTCTGGAGCTCTAGCCCCCTTCGGCAGGGCAGTAAGCAGTCTTTAACTCAGAGTCTCCCGGCTAAGGCTGACACCAAACAAGAGTCTAGGGCTCTGGTCTTCTAGGCAGGGCAGAGTACAAGCAATCTCTAGCCCACAGCCTCCTAGCTGGAGCAGACAGCAATGAACAGTCTATAAGGGAAGCTCTGGCCTTCTGGGCGGGGCGGAGCAGGCTTTTGCCTAAGCGGAGTGCCCCAGGGGTCAGTCCTGGGGCCGGTTTTGTATACCATCTTCATTAATGATCTGGATGATGGGATGGATTGCACCCTCAGCAAGTTTGCGGATGACACTAAACTGGGGGGAAAGGTAGATATGCTGGAGGGTAGGGATAGGGTCCAGAGGGACCTAGACAAATTAGAGGATTGTGCCAAAAGAAATCTGATGAGGTTCAACAAGGACAAGTGCAGAGTCCTACGCTTAGGAAGGAAGAATCCCAAGCACTGCTACAGACTGGGGACCGACTGGATAAGCGGCAGTTCTGCAGAAAAGGACCTGGGGATTACAGTAGACGAGAAGCTGGATAGGAGTCAACAGTGTGCCCTTGTTGCCAAGAAGGCTAACAGCATATTGGGCTGCATTAGTAGGAGCATTGGCAGCAGATCAAAGGAAGTGATTATTCCCATCTATTCAGCACTGGTGAGGCCACATCTGGAGTATTGCATCCAGTTTTTAGGGGCCCCCCACTACAGAAAGGATGTGGACAAATTGAAGAGAGTTCAGCGGCGGGCAACGGAAATTATTAGGGGGCTGGGGCACATGACTTATGAGGAGAGGCTGAGAGAACTGGGCTTATTTAGTCTGCAGAAGAGAAGAGTGAGGGGGGATTTGATAGCAGCCTTCAACTACGTGAAGGGGGATTCCAAAGAGGATGGAGCTAGGCTGTTCTCGGTGGTGGCAGATGACAGAACAAGGAGCAATGGTCTCAAGTTGCAGTGGGGGAGGTCTAGGTTGGATATTAGGAAACACTATTTCACTAGGAGGGTGGTGAAGCACTGGAATGGGTTACCTAGGGAGGTGGTGGAATCTCCATCCTTAGAGGTTTTAAAGGCCCAGCTTGAAAAAGCCCTGGCTGGGATGATTTAGTTGAGGTTGGTCCTGCTTTGAGCAGGGGGTTGGACTAGATGACCTCCTGAGGTCTCTTCCAATCCTAATCTTCTATGATTCCTGGCTAAGGCAGCCAACAAACACAGAGTCTAGGCCTCCAGTCTCTTTTCTGGGGAAAGCCACAAACAAAGTGGCTTAGGGGTGACTAGACCACAAGACCAAAGGTGGGGTTGGCAGCAAAAGGATAAGGGGATCTTGGCCAACCCTACTCCACCAGGTCCCAGCCAAGGGCCCTAACAGTGACAAAAGTGGAGCAAAGTCTGGTTTCCCTGGCTCCTTCCTACCCCATTCCAGGTGCAGGGCTCCATAATCCAAGGGTGCTTCATCTCCTCAAGGTACAGGGCTGATGGCAGTCCTGACAACTCATGCCCAGGATAGGTCTCCTCCGGGGGCAGGGTGCTGCACAGCGCAGTTTCAATTACAGAGTGCCGCAGCAGGCTGGAGATATCTGCCTCCTTCC